TGACCTAGGGTGAATTTTAAATAGGGAAAATTTTTTTAAAGATTTTAATAATGACACAGCCATAAATATATTTGGTTTTTAATTGGTTTTATAGGGGAAATGTTTTTTGTGTTGTTTTTTAATATGCTGTGAGCCGCCCTGAGTCCCGTGGGGAGAAGGGCGGCATAGAAGTTGGAAAAATAAATAAATAAATAAATAAGTAACTTTGAATGGTCACTAAACAAACGGTTGTAAGTCGAGGACTACATGTAATCTACAGACGTTCCTCTGCCACACTGGTTGGGAATTGAAGTCCCAACACAAACGAAGAGAGATTATATACTCTTTGCATGCTTTCCTAATTTTATTTGCTGATTTTGTACTGTTCTTATTCCTTGACCTATGGATGAATTATGATTATATTTGGAGATTTGATCTTTGGAGTTGTTGGCACCACAATTTATTTTGAGATATAAACTACAGGTAGTCCTCGACTTAGAACAGCTCATTTAGACTTAGGACCGTTTTTCACCCTAACAACGGTTGCAGCATCTCCATGATCACGTGATCAAAATTCAGAGGCTTGGCAACTGACTCTTATTTATGACGGTTGCAGTGTCCTGGGGTCATGTGATCACTTCTTGCAACCTTCTGACAAGCAAAGTCAATGGGGAAGCCAGACTCACTTGACAACTAAGTTATTTAACTTATCTGCAGTAACTCACTTAACAAGCCTGGCAAAAAAGGTCATAAAATGGGGCAAAACTCACTTAACAACTAGAAATGTGATCGTAAGCAATAGCAATAGCACTTAGACTTATATACCACTTCACAGTGCTTTACAGCCCTCTGTAAGCGGTTTACAGAGTCAGCATATTGCCCCCCAAAATCTGGGTCCTCATTTTACCGACCTTGGAAGGATGGAAGGCTGAGTCAACCTTGAGCCTGGCGAGACTCGATCTGCCGGCAGCCGGCAGTCAGCAGAAGTAGCCTGCAGTACTGCATTGTAACCACTGCGCCACCAGGGCTGTAAGTTGAGCACTTCCTGTATAGCGAAGAATATAGGGTGTCCTTCGGAGCTCAACGGTGTTTTGACCATTATCCAAGACGAGCTGTCCATTTCTGTTTTTTTTTCTGGACTTTGATCCAGAATAATATTGATCTGGATCTGAAGTGTTCCCAAGAGGGAGCCCATCCAGGATCTTCCCATGCCTGTCTGTACATTGACTTCCTTTCCTCCTCTGCAGGGGTGATCTCCATCCTGCTCCATCGGCAAGCGGGCAGTGTGGATGTGATTAAAGCCTATACCCACGCCCTTCTTCTAGAGGCCTTACTCTATGAAGATGTGGAAACTTGTGCCTTGGAAAGAGAGTCCCTCCTGAATTTGCAGCATCAATTATGTAAAGGTGATGACCTGGGGAGTGAATTGGGAGGAAGAAACGAATTGTGAACAGGGGAGGGGGGGCAATCTAGAGCAGGGCTTTTCAACCTTTTCACCAATTGTACCACTTTTAGGATATGGCAATATCCGAGTACCACCAGTCGCCTAGCAAGGTGTCAAAAAGTTGATGACTAAAAAAAAAAAGGAAAAAAGTGATAAAGTACAGGTAGTCCTCAACTTACAACAGTTCGCTTAGTGACTGTTCGAAGTTACAATGGCACTGAAAAAAGTGCCCCCCAAGGCACAGCCGAGCAAAACACCTGCCCGCCTGCCCGGTGGCGCTCTTCCTCCTGTCCGAAGTTTTCATTGTTGTGAGCATTTCTGCTGAGGATTGGCAGCGGGGGTGGGGTGGGGGGTTGTTTGGTTTTTATTCCCCCCCATCTGCTGGGTGGTTGCAGCAGGTTTTGGTCACTTCACATGACCCTGGGACACTGTGACCGTCATAAATATGAATCAGTTGCCAAGCATCTGAATGTAAATCACAAGACCCTGGAGATGCTGCAATATTCCAGCTGATCAGTGCTTCTTCTGGGCTCAGCAGAAGCGCCAGGATCAGTGCCGAGCTCCAGCTGGAGCCTGGCGCTGATCCTGGCGCTTCCACTGAGCCCTGACAGTCCCGAAGAAGCGCTGATCCTGGCACTTCCGCTGAGCCCTGACAGCCCTGCAGCTCCAGCCATCTCTTGCTCAGGCTTGTGCGGTGCTGCCACCGGTTCAGCTCATTCCCCTTCCCCGCTACCACTTTTCTAGGATGGTCGCGTACCACCTGCCAGGTGCCAATGTACCACAGGTGGTACCCGTACCACTGGTTGAAAAGCCCTGATCTAGAGGACGCGTCATAACTTGGTGAAACTGGAAATTCACGTCACAGGTTCTTTTCTGGCATGTCTTGTTAGATGGGACTGAGAAAGACATCTCTTGGTGGTCCCAATTGTCTGTTAGGGTGGGTATCCCTTTTGCTCCAGCACATTACAAGTAGTCCTCGACATACGACCGTAATGGAGCCCGGAGCTTTTCTCAGCGCTGTGCAGGCTGTGTTAGTGAAGCAGAACGGGACGCTTTGTCGCTCGGCCATGTGGTGCGATTCTGGAAGCAGCAGCCATGTTCCCAGCTATTAGAATTTCATGCGGCTGCTGGGAGCATGGTGGTCACTTCCTGAATCACGCCACACAATGGCCCACACAATGAAGCCATCTATTCTGGCACTGCCGAAAGCACCGGAGCTCTACAAAAGGTAAGTGAGGAGGAGGAGGAGGAGGGTGTGGGACCTGATGGGGTGGGAATCAGGCCTAAGGCCTGGGGGAATCCAGTGGGGGAGGGGAAGGCCTATGGCAGGGGTAGTCAACCTTGGCTCTTTTATGACTCGTGGACTTCAACTCCCAGAATTCCTGAGCCAGCCATGCTGAGGGGAAAGAGAGAGGTTTCCAAGCTGAGCCATGCTGGCTCAGGAATTCTGGGAGTTGAAGTCCACGAGTCATAAAAGAGCCAAGGTTGCCGACCCCTGGCCAATGGGAACCTGGGGGAGAGGAATGGGGGAAGACCGGCAGGGAAGCTATGGTGTCCCTGTGGTTGGTTGTAAAGGTGAACAACTACAGGGGGTGCTATAGTGGCCATTACTTGGGGATTGGCTCATAAGTAGCTTTTGAGGGGTTTATTCCACCATATTACAGATAGTCCTTGACATACAACTGTAATGGAGCCTGGAGCTTTTTTTGGGGGGGGGGGGTCCGCTGTAACTATGAATGGCCGTTAAGCAACCATCACCATCATAGTGTGAGATGCACAGAATGGCCCACTGCAGTTGTATCCTCATATTTTCCCCCCAGTCTTCTGCCAGTGAGATGTTTTCCGCTGCCTGCCTCAGATCTAATCAGTTGAGAAGAGGCTTGCAAACGATGACCAAGGTGTTTGCACCACCTTCCTCAGGTCAATTGTGTTCCTTGCAACCGACACAACTGCTGTCCGGTAGGCCTTTTCGAGGCAGGTGGAGCCTATGGGAGACTGAAGAGATTTGGAGATGGAGGTGGCCATTTACCTCAGGCTACCCCAAAGGCTTTGGGGGCAGGGAGAAGAGGGAGGTTGCTCATCCTATAGTGCAGTGTTTCTCAACCTTGACAATTTTAAGGCATGTGGACTTCAACTCCCAGAATTCCACAGCCAGCAATGCTGGCTGTGGAATTCTGGGAGTTGAAGTCCACATGCCTTAAAATTGTCAAGGTTGAGAAACACTGCTATAGTGGATACTTGGTAAGGTGGATGGTTGGTAAAGATAGTCCTCGACTTACAACCATTCCTTTAGGACAGTTTGAAGTTACAATGGCACTGGAAAAAGTGACTTATGACCGTTTTTCACAAGCATCCGTTTTTGCAAGCATCCCCAGGGTCAGGTGATCAGAATTTGGACGCTTGGCAACGGGCTCATATTTAAGACGGTTGCATTGTCCCAGGGTCACGTGATCATCTTTTGCGACCTTCTGACAGGCAAAGTCAGTGGGGAAGCCAGACTCACTTAACAACCGTGTTACTGACTGAACAGCTGCAGGGATTCCCTTAACAGCTATGGCAAGAAAGGTCATACAATGGGGCAAAACTCACTTAACTACGGTCTTGCTTAGCAACAGAAATGTTGGGTTCAGTTGTGGCCGTAAGTTGGGAACTAGCCTATAAACGTCCTGCTTATGTTCTCATTCTCTCCCCTGCAGCATTTGGAAAAAGTTATACAGTTCCTGGCAAGCCAACTTGTATCTTGTTTGTGAATTAATCTCTTTCGCATTTATCCTTCCAGGGACTCAAACTTTGCTTTTCTTCCATTTACAAAGGGTCCCCCCCCCCGTTTTCTCTCCTTTATGGCAAGCACAAATCTGCCGTGCAGGCTCTTCCTCATGTTTTTTCTTCCTTTTCCTGCTTTTCAGAATCCGGTAAAGAGGATCCCAGGATAAATTCCGAAATGCATCAGTTCTTAGATAGGATATTTCCCAAATTCCTGGCAGGTGCGTGGTGGAAATTTAGAAACTGAGTTTTCGTTTAAATCCTGGATTCAGCACCAAGCAAGCTCAAATCTCACTTTTCAAGAGGTTCTGTCCATGAAGTCAGTCTACACCAGGGGTAGTCAACTTTGGCTCTTTTATGACTCGTGGACTTCAACTCCCAGAATTCCTGAGCCAGCCATGCTGAGGGGAAAGGGAGAGGTTTCCAAGCTGAGCCATGCTGGCTCAGGAATTCTGGGAGTTGAAGTCCACAAGTCATAAAAGAGCCAAGGTTGACTACCCCTGGTCTACACCTTTAAATGCTTTTTTGATGTTCAGTGATACAGTTCAATTGTATAACTGTATATTGGCATTGTATGGATGGCCAGGGACCACTCATATTGGGGAGGGGAGGGGGCTGAGGGTCTCAAGAGCATAGGACAGGGGTGGGCAACCTTGGCTCTTTCATGACTCGTGGACTTCAACTCCCAGAATTCCTGAGCCAGCATGGCTCAGCTTGGAAACTCTCCCTTTCCCCTCAGCATGGCTGGCTCAGGAATTCTGGGAGTTGAAGTCCACGAGTCATAAAAGAGCCAAGGTTGACTACCCCTGGGATAGGGTCATATTCATGTGGATGGAACCATGATCAATGGGAAGTTGGGGTGTGAGTGTTTGCTCTTTAATTATGATAATGCCTGTTTTAGTAGCTCTTGTGTGTTTTCCACCTCAAAATAGCGGGACATGATGCCCTCAGCTTTTAGCAGGTGATCAGAGTAGCCTCCAGCAGCTACAAAAGTGTCTTACATGACCTCTGAGGTCACACTGCCATTCCCACCCCCCCAGTGCTGACTAAAAGGGAAAGATTTAAATCAGTTTTTGTCAACCTTGGCCATTTGAAGTTGTGTAGACTTCACCCCCCATAATTCCTCAGCCATTAAGGAATTCTGGGAGTTGAAGTCCACGCATCTGCAAGTAGCCAAAGTTGAGAAAAGCTGATTAATGCAGCCCTAAAGAGCAACAAAAGATTCCAGAGTCCTTTGAAGATATGAAATCATCCTTGTTCAAAGCTTTTCCCAGCACTCTGGGAGTGCTTCTAAGTGTCAGTCGCAGCTCTGCCCAATTTTTTTTTTTTAAATTAAACCAGATATAGGAAGTCTTCACTTACTCACCCTTTGTTCGGTGACTGTTTGACTTTATGACAGTGCTGAACAAGAAGACTTAACGATAGGTCCTCAAAACTGCAGACATGCTGGGTTCATGTGAATGTCATTTGTGACCTTCATTGCTGGCTTCTGACAGAGTCAACGGAGAAGCTGGCGGAAGTCACAAGTCACAGTGTGACATTGTACTTCGCAACTTGTGGTCATTCACTTAATGGCCACAGCCAGAAATGACAAACTCCCGTTGTCCCCAAAGTGCTTTTTTCAAAAGGCAACTGGACTTCGTTTTTCCTTGAGGACGTTTCGCTTCTCATCCAAGGTCAGAGCTGAAGAAGCTTCTTGGATGAGAAGCGAAACATCCTCAGAGAAAAACAAAGTCCAGTTGCCTTTTGAAAAAGCAGTTTTGGAACAACCATGACCTGGATGACTGAGAATCCCCATGGACAATCTTGCATTGTAATTCAAAGACGGTCACATGATTTTTCAGTTAACAATCTAGTCACCTTGCGACGGAGTCTCAGATCCTATTGCAATGGGTAAGTGAGGACTACTGTAGTTTCGAATTTCTAATGCTGTTTACACTTGTATCTCTTGTACCTTGCCCAGAAAGATAGAAACCGAGGTTAGGGTGCGGTGTTTATAGATATACCCAATCCTTTCTGTTCACTTTGGGTTCTCTTGTGCTTCCAAGGACTGACATCCGCTGGATGGGTAACCAGTCGAAACCTCCTGGGCCCCGAGGAATGGCGGATGGAGTGGCTCAGCGCTGAGAAGAAAATGCTCTGATTCTGATTCTGGAAGAATTTTTATTCCAAGAACCTGATTTATTCAATCATAGAAAAGGAGGGGATCCTGGTTTCCTTGGGGGTCATCTTTTACAAAAGCAACTGTAGATTTGGATTTGCCTTGCCTCAGTTTACCACTCCTTAACTGTAAAATAAAGATGAGGTGCTGACAACATAAGATTTCATTTCTTTCCAATTATTTTTTTTAAATGTGATGAAGTGTTTATATATTTTGCCTTTGGGGGGGGGGGTAAAGCTAATGTATACCTTCATAGCATCCCTGCAAGACTAAGAGATGTGTATTTAATTGGATAGGTAATCCTCATTTAGCAACCACAGTAGGGACTGACAACTTGGTCGTTAATTGGAGTGGCTGTTAAATAAATTACAACTGTGCTTATGATCTTACCTCAGCTTTTCTTTGCTTTACAGACCTGCAAAGGTCATAAATGCGAGGCTCGGTTGCAAAGTTACTTTTGCATCCCTATTGTAACTGCAAATGGTCACTGTCTGAGGCAGTTGCTAAATGAGGACTATGTGTACGCCTTGATTTTGCCTTTCTAAGCCGGTATCCAGTATGGTGCCTTGTTCAGTATGGGGAAGTCTTCTTTTTGTTTACAAAAATTTTTACCTCACAAATTTGATTTTGTACCCCAAAGAGAAGTATATCCACGTTCTTTCATGTCTGTTCCCTTGTCTCCTGTCTAGTATACACGGATGCTATGATTCGTTTGTTCTCTTCCCTATTCCGAATATACAGTTTGTTTTCTTTTTGTCTCTCTGTCTCTTCTCTCTCTTTTTTCCAAAAATTTGAAAGGGATGAATTGGAATATGACGCAATGTTGAAGAGTGGAATAAGTGGGGAACATGGGAGGTGCATAAAGTTGGGGAGCATAAATATTTGTGAGGGACATTGAGGCAAGCATATCATGATAAACATGCAGTCTGGAAAATTATATATAATCATAATTAGAGATAGTTTAGGTGACCAGTTGTGAAATTACAATAAGGAAGAAAATGTTGTAGAAGAAAGAGCCTGGGGGAATGGAGTCAAAATCGGCCTAGAGTCGTTACATATCCACAAACAGACTGAATCTAACCCCTCTTGAATCCCATCAACCCTTATCTAGCACCAAAATGGTGCTAACTCATAGTTGACTAGATTCCCATGCATAGGCACAACCAATAAATCAGTTTAATTTGGAATTTAGCACGTGGCCTTGGTGTTTCCTGCCTAACATGGTTTCTAAGACTGTGAAAACTGAACATTCCTTATCATCTCGACACTTAAGAAGAAGGATGAGTTTCTCCCTAATTCCAGCTGTTAACAGTTTTGAGTGGCTTGTCTCTTTCATGATGTAATATAACTTAAAATGACCTTCCAAAGAGTTAGTTGTGATGAGTTTTGATGGATGTTGACTTGGATGTCGTAGTTAGATCTTTGGAACTTGGATGATGGCAGGTGACTCAGATGACAGTTGTGAAGTCCCTCCTATTTCTGATTCCATCTTTTTGCTCCTGTTGTTCCTCTGGGGCTGATGGGTTGATGGGATGTAGCTGGAGGGGTTGGTGAGTAACATATTCTATGGAGCTGGTGAGGATCCTCAGGCATAGTAGCCCCACATGAAGATGGCAAGAGCCATCATGATCATAGCGTTGGTGTTGACCACCTGTTTCCACAGCGTGTGGTTTGTGATGCCTGCCAGATGCTGGAGATCCTCGTCCTTCTCTTCTGGGTTCAGTTCTGGCTCCTTTGGGCTGCCGGAATTCATTCCACAAAACCAGTCCAGGCCTTGGCGTAGCCGGCCACAGGAGGTCATTGTTTTGGGATCTGGGTGGAGAGGGAAGAGGTATCTGAGGTTAAGAGTTCTCTCAAAACATTGTGATGATTGTGAAATTGTGACAAGGGCAAACTCAAAAGGAAAGTCTCACACACAAACACACTTAAGAAAATTTGATGATTTGGGGACACACTACAATTGTTTGGATGTGTATTTTAGAAAGGCTGCATCTTGCTTCCCAAAAAATACCATGTAAGAACTAGTGTGGTGTAGTGGTTAAGGGGTTGGACTGGCATTGGGGAGACCCAGATTCAGGTCTACCCTCACTAGGTGATTTTTGGACCGGTCATGCTCTCCCACCCAGCCTACCTCAAAGGAAAAAGGACTCCTATTTTATTTATTTAATTTGTATCCTGCCTTTATTGCTATATAAGTAATAAAGGTACTTTAAAAATAATAAAAGTACTTTGTAAGTAACTCAATTTGGCAATAATACTTCTCCTTCCTCTTTGTCCCCACAACGACAACCCTGTGAGGTGGGTTGAGCTGAGAAAGAGTGATTGGCCCAAAGTCACCCAGTCAGCTTTGATGTCTAAGGTGGGACTAGAACTTTCAGTCTCCTGGTGATTGGCCAAACTCACCCAGCTGGCTTTCCTGCCTAAGGCGGGACTAGAATGCATCGTTTCCTGGATTCTAGGCCAGTACTTTAACCACTACACCAGGGGTAGGCAACCTTGGCTCTTTTATGACTCGTGGACTTCAACTCCCAGAATTCCTGAGCCAGCCATGCTGAGGGGAAAGGGAGAGTTTCCAAGCTGAGCCATGCTGGCTCAGGAATTCTGGGAGTTGAAGTCCACGAGTCATAAAAGAGCCAAGGTTGCCTACCCCTGCACTACACCAAATGGGCTCTGCTTTGAGCTCCTGAATGGAGGAGAATTATAAGCCAAATAAATAAACACACAACATCCCCTCACCATCCATTTCTAGGACCAGCTCTGGTCTTCCGTTCTTGGTGGCTGCATTCTCTGCTTCCCGCTGTCTATGCTGTTTTGCTTCCTCCTCCTCTTCCGTATCCAGATCGACCCGTGTCTCCTTACTGTGCCTGAGGCTGAATACCAGGCGATGCAGCTGGGTTGGCAGAATAGAAGTTTTGAGATGCACAAATGGTGAAACAGAATAACTGGGTGGGGAAGGGGACCCTGGGAACGGTTGCCCAACTCAAGATGGGCAACAAACCGGAAAAGATTAGTTCGGCTCTATAAATCAGGGCTTTTGAACCAGTGGTACGGGGACCACCTGTGGTACATTGGCACCTGGCAGGTGGTACGTGACCATCCTAGAAAAATGGTAGCGGGGGAGAGGAATGAGCTGAACCGGTGGCAGCACCGCACAAGCCTGAGCAAGAGATGGCTGGAGCTGCAGGGCTGTCAGGGCTCAGCAGAATTGCCAGGATCAGTGCTTTTTCGGGACTGTCAGGGCTCAGTGGAAGCGCCAGGATCAGTGCCAGGCTCCAGCTGGAGCTCGGCGCTGATCCTGGCACTTCTGCTGAGCCCAGAAGAAGCACCAATCATCTGGAATGTTGCAGCATCTCCAGGGTCTTGTGATTTACATTCAGATGCTTGGCAACTGATTCATATTTATGACAGTTCTAAGCGAACTGTTGTAAGTTGAGGACTACCTGTACTTTATCACTTTTTTCCTTTTTGGGGGGGGGGTCATCAAGTTTTTGACACCTTGCTAGGCGACTGGTGGTACTCAGATATTGCCATATCCTAAAAGTGGTACAATGGGTGAAAATGTTGAAAAGCCCTGCTGTAAATGACTGCATTCAATTGTCAAGCGATCCATTTCTGAGTGAGGGAGGTGAGTGATTCCAGGTCTTTTCCCAGGAATCTACCTGATACCACCATCCCTCATTTTCTTTGGCATCCCTGTTAGTGCCTATGAAGAACAACTTGTAAATAATTCAGTTGCCGGTAAAGAGGTTTGTGGACCAGCTTAGGGCCCGGAAAGAATGTGTGTCCCAGAAAACCAGGGTCCAATTAGAAGATGAGAAGTGGGTGGGTGGGAAGATATAGCAGATGGACTGTTGAGATTGGAATAATAATAATAATAATAATAATAATAATAATAATAATAATAATAATTAATAATAATAATAATAATAATAATAATAATAATAATAATAATAATAATAATAATAATAATAATAATAATAATAATAATAATAATAATAATAATAATAATAATAATAATAAAAAAGTTGGAAGGGACCTTGGAGGTCATCTAGTCCAACCCCCTGCTCTGGCAGGAAATCCTACACCAGACATGTCAAACACAAGGCCCGGGGGCCGGATGCGGCCCGTGAAGTGGTTTCATGTGGCCCGCAAAGCCATCCTGGAAACAGTGAGGGAACGGCCCCCGCTGCCTTGGCCCTGGCCCAGGCCATCCGGGAACCAATGTACAATTTTGTGGTGGCCATCTATGCTGAAACGCATTCAGTCTTATTTCTTCAAGGCTGTCTGGAAACAGTGAGGAACCAGGAGAACCTTGAGCAGCAGCCTTGAGGAAGTGGGGCTGGGCTTGGTGCCGCGGGTGCTCAAGGGCCAGGCTGGGCATTTGACCTCTGCTGCCCAGGGCTCCGGCAGCCCGCACCACCATCCAGCCCCCCCCACATGGCCTGAGAGGAACAGTGAGGCTCCTCCAATGCACCATGCCTTGGCACTTGCCCTGGTCCCACCCCCTTCTGCCAGAGACCCTCAGATCTGTCCCATTCCTGCCCAGGTCCCCACAGGCACCCTCGATGCGAATGATGTAGAGCTGACCATGCCCACCCAGTAGGCCACGCCCACTCCATCCATGCCCACCCAGTAGGCCGCACCCATCTGGCCCCCTGAGGGCAACCGCAATGCTGATGCGGCCCTCAATGAAATTGAGTTTGACACCCCTGCCCTACACCATTTCGGACAAATTGTTGTCCAGTCTCTTCTTAAAAACTTCCAGTGTTGCAGCATTCACTGCTTCTGGAGGCAGGTTGTTCCACTGGTTAATTGTTCTAACTGTCAGGAAGTTTCTCCTTAGTTCTAAGTTGCTTCTCTCCTTGATCAGTTTCCATCCGTTGCTTCTTGTCCTGCCTTCGGGCGCCTGGGAGAATAGCTTGACTCCCTCTTCTTTGTGGCAGCCCCTGAGATATTGGAACACTGCTATCATGTCCCCCCTCGTCCTTCTCTTTGTTAAACTAGACATACCCAATTCCAGCAACCGTTCCTTATATGTTTTATATTGTGGGGGGGGGGGGGAGAGAAGAAAATCTCCCCCCACCAGAAATTAAAAGCTAATTCAGACTTGGTTAAAAATGTACTGAATTCAGGTGTGTGCGTGAGTGAGAAAGAAAGAGGGAATGGATGGATGGATGGATGGAACACATACTATGTACTTACACCCATACCAACAAACATTCTGTATTAATGTATTGTCCCAACTATAGTTTATAACATGAAATAGGAGATGTCTGACTCTTGTGGATTTCTTGGTCCTCTTTTATTATATAAAAGAGAGGCGGCCTTTCTGGGCCACTGTCTCTATGACTTGGAGGTCTGAAATGGAAGAGCTTTAAGTAGACAAGGGAAGGAGGCACAACTCTTAGAAAGCTCCCTTTAGGTCCTTGTCTCAGAAGAGGTACAGCTAGTCCTCAACTTACAGCCATTCATTTAGTGACATTCAGAGTTAAAATGACGCCGAAAACAATGGCTTACGACCAGTTTTCGCACTTGCAACAATCGCAGCGTTCCCACAGCCGTGTAATTCTGGCTCTTGACAACCAGCCTGTATTTACGACAACCGAAGTGTCCTGCGATCGCCATTTGCAACCTTCCCAACCGGCTTCCAACAAGCAAAGTCAATGGGGGAAGCCAGATTCGCTTAACAACTGCTTGATAACAACTGTGGTGATTCGCTTAGCAACCTTGGCAAAAAAAAGGTGGTAAAATCAGGCACGAGTCACTTAACAACCGACTTGCTTAGCGGGGGAAATTTTGGTGCCGATCGTGGTCGTAAGTCGAGGACTACCTGCATTTCAATGCACTGGCATTATTTTCCTCCCCCCCCAAACTCCCCCTGTACTTACATGTTTATCAGGAATCGGAGAAGTGCAGAGCGAGACCCCCACTGCAATGGCAGCTGTAGCCAAGAATAGGATAATGGCGAAGTAAAGATAGTGGACTCCGCATATCAGGCGAGGGCAGGTGCTTTGGAAGAGACATCTCCCTGTTCCATGGACGAATTCTGGGATCATTCGGGCCATGCCTATGGCTAGTCCTCCCATCATGCCCCAGAATGCACCCTGAAGAGGAACAGGGAGGATGAGGAACAAACGAGAAGGCGCTTTCACATTGTATCAGGGACACTTCATTCCTGTTCAGGTGCCTTCCCTGTCCCCTAAAACTGAGAGACCACTGCAAAAATTGGGGAAAGCATGATTGTTAAAAGGTTTAGAAGTGTGTGACATTGACTTCTTTCATCTCTGGTTCTCCATGTTAGCAGGCCAAGGTTTTCCCATCTCCAAGGCTGTATATCATGAAACAGTTGACTTCAACAGTTGACTGTGGAGTCCTAGTGGACGATCACCTGACTATGAGCCAGCAGTGTGCAGCCGCCACCAAAAAAGCTAATACAATCCTGGGTTGTATAAACAGAGGCATAGATCACGTGAAGTATTAGTACTACTTTATAAAACCCTAGTGAGACCACACCTGGAATACTGCAGCCAATTTTGGTCACCATACTATAAAAAAGAGACCTTGGAAAAAATTCAGAGAAGAGCAACTAAGATGATCAAAGGCCTGGAGATTAAAACATACGAAGAACAGCTGCAGGACTTGGGTTTGGCTAGTCTAAAGAAAAGAAGAAATAGGGGAGACATGACAGCAGTTTTCCAGTATTTGACGGGCTGCCACAAAGAAGAGGGGGTCAAATTATTCTCCAAAGCAACAGAGGGCAGGACGAGAAACAATGGTTGGAAACTGACCAAAGAGAGAAGCAACCTGGAATTAAGGAGAAACTTCCTGACAGTGAGGACAATTAACCAGTGGAACAGCTTGCCTCCAGAAATTGTGGGCGCTCCATCACTGGAGTTTTTAAGAAGAGACTAGACAGTCACTTGTCTGCAATGGTATAGGTTCTCCTGCTTGAGCAGGGGGCTAGACTAAAAGACCTCCAAGGTCCCTTCCAACTCTATTCTATTCTATTCAACCGACGTCCTGATGACTTTGGCATTTGACAGAAGTGGTTTTCTTCTGCCTTCTTAGGGGTATAATATTTTTCAACTTCCCAGTATCTGAAACCTCTGAATGGTGTCTTATTTGACTATCTAGGAAGTCCAAATTGGCTTAGGTGGTCTAGATGCCACCATTCTAACTGGGCTTAAAATTCTGGTACTCTTATTTCCTCTATTTTGAGTGTTTGTGGTTCCCCTCCATGGATCCCACTCCTTATGTGGAGTACGTTTGTCAATGTGGTTGGTTGTGTTTTTTTCTTTTAATCTGCTCACCTGCTCATTGAGCCTTTTGACAAAGACTCCAAGGAGAAAAATGACAGCAATGGGTGGGGCCAGATAACTGCTGATGGACTGGATGTAGTCAAAGAGCTGTCCACCTTGGGCAACTTGTACCACAGGGATCCACGCAATGCTGATGCCCACAAGCAGCAAGATCCACACTCTGTAGAGAGAAACAGCAAAGAGGAAATCTATCCCTTGGCTGGGATACAGGGACATGCTTACAAAGTGGGGTTTAATTGAGGGTGGGAGAGGATTTCCACGGGTGTACTCACTGTCACGTAAAATTTACTTATCTCGTGGTTCAAGTGAGTTCTAAGATTCATGTTTCTAATGCAGTTGACATGGCCTGCAGGATGGCAAAAATATCAAAGTGGACAAATTTGGGGAACCTTGTATTGTTTTGCAGTGACGTAGTGCCAGTGGGTATCATTAACAATCCTTGATGATGCTGACCAACTTCCAAAATTGAAGAAAATAATGGTTAAGATCTCACGAATTTGCCAGACCTTGCAAGATTTCAAGGGCTGTGCATTACGTAGATTCCTTCCTTCCTTCCTTCCATCCATCTCCTTCCCTTCCCCTTCAATCTCTCCCTTCCTTCCTTCCTTCCTTCCTTCCTTCCTTCCTTCCTTCCTTCCTTCCTTCCTTCNACAAGGCAAGGGAGGCAGGAGGGAGCCACTTCTGTAGTGTTGCCAAGAAAACAATGTGGCCGGCCGTGAGTGTGGAAATGGACACGGAGTCACGAGGGAGCCAGTTTGACCTGAAGAGGCTTCAATCTTATAATAAGCTTCTTCCTTCCTTCCTTCCTTCCTTCCTTCCTTCCTTCCTTCCTTCCTTCCTTCCTTCCTTTCTTCCTTCCTTCCTCCCTTCCTCCTTCAATCTCCTTCCTTCTCCCTCTCCTTCCTGAATGGATGGATGAAAATATTAATAAAATGAATGAATGAATGAATGATGAATAATGTTTTGGTGCCCACATCAGTGTACAACTCCCCTCACTCTTTGAAAATATTGCCATCCTTTGAGTTGGTATCACCAACCTTCCCCCATCTAGCTGAGCATGGCAAGAATTACAGTAGAGTCACAACACATCTGTAGGACACCACATGGAGGAAGACTAACAAGATGGCAGAGGTTGGTTTTTCGTAGCAAGGGAAGAGTGTACATGGATATAGGGTGTCCCAGATCTCTTTCTCACCGGCCCACAATCAACAGCTCCCTCTCATTGGCTTGTGGCCTCAAGCGTTTGTAGATGTCCATGGTGAAGAGGGTGCCGCTGCTGTTGAAGATGGAGGCCAGGGAGCTCATGAGGGCTGCCAGCATCACTGCAAGCATCAGGCCCCGGAGGCCTGTCGTAATAAAACATAATGGGGAGGAAGAAGGAATGAATGCCAGCGTTCAGCATCACCTGGATCATACAGCTGGCTAAATTCACAACAGAGCTTGGATCCCCTAATTCAATGGTAGAGTCCCAAATCCAATCCCTGCTCTGTGTAGTAGGACTGGCCAAACCTCTCCATTATTGTTGATGGTCCCAACTAGATGGCCAAGTCGTTTGATTTTTTTAAAAAAAAAAAATTATTGAGTTTTTTATCCATAAAGGGAGACAAGGGAGGAATATAGGTATGGTAAACAGGGGAGGGGTGGGGAGGGAAAAATGGGAAATTTGGAAGGGGGTAAAGGTAATATATAATCAATAATTTTACAAGCAAGTAAGTATCCGGCATATCATTAATATATAAATAGCTTATCATAGTATTTAAATAACATATAACATATTCAAATATTTTTCACTTAAACTTAGCTTTAACCTTAAAGGCATAACCATAAATTAATAAAA